AGAGACAGTAGTGTGGTATCCTTCAAACATGTCCCTGGCAGTTACTTACAGCAGAAAGGACGACAGAGAGTTAAACGTCACAATCCAATTCATAGAGAGTAAGGGGGACAAATAGGCAATGTTATGTGGCTGGGAACGTGCAGCTTTGGAAGAGTGAGTCTGAGTGTAATTGTTGTATTTTTTAGTTATTAGCCTAACATGTTTTCACTGTAAAGTAGATGTAATTCTACCAACTTAATGAAATAATGTGCATTAAAACATTAAGGATAGCACCTATTAAAGACTTTTTTTTAAAAAGAAGAAAGAAAGTGGTGCAAACCCAAGTTCTCTTGGCTCCTAGAAAACATTACTGTCACATTGGAGAAATCACCTAATCATCTTGGGCTTTCATTTTCTTATTAAAATAAGGAAGTTGGGCTGGGACCTCTTAAGGTTCTGTCCAAATCTAACATTCTGTGAATGAAATGAATATCTGAACAGCCAGCCAGAAAGGCTAGAGTACAAGTCAGGACTTTGAGGTAAAAGATCAAGGGCAGAAGGAAAACCCTGCCTTGCGATTTTCCTCATAAGCAGAGTGAAAGAAAAAAGTTTGTAATTTATTAAAATTCTGGGCTGCACAATTCTATTAACTCATATGCTAATATGGTTTTGTGAGCTATTGTGAATGGGATTCAATGTAAAATCCTTGCAAAAAACATATGGCTTTTGTCCAAAACTAGATGACATGCTTTTCATAGAAAGATGAATAAGGGAGAAACTGACAAAATCAGACATCAGAACGATGCAACATTCCAATAATAGCAACAAAAAGAATAACAATAATAATAATGATAGTCACTGCTCCCCTGAGTGCCAGCTCCGAACTGACATTGAGTTCATTGTCCTGTTGATTCCTCTAAGGTAGTTCTGATCATCCTTTTATAGTTGCAACCATTGGCAGAGTATGATCTGACCCCAATTCACTTGCCGTGAAAACTCCCACTCCCATGGCCACACCTTTAAAATAGAGTCTCATGGCCTTTTTCCTTTTGTTATGACAATGGGGGCCCATGCCTTGACTATGGCGAACATATCTGTAAGCCTATACCTTGCTCTCACTCTGTAAACCTATCATTCTCTTTCTCAATGAACTTTGTTTCATGCTTGCCTTATTTTAGGGTATCTGGTTGTTTTCTGATCAAGAGCACCCCAAGAACTGAGGACCCAGGCAGCTGCCTTGAAACCCAACATTTTAGATTTCTAAGAAGCATCTGGCACCCCTCAAAGTTGTATATAATTTAGAAACCTTCCTTTTCTTGCTAAAAAAAAGAAAAGACAATTATAGCCTTACTTCTCCAGCTGTGGTCTGATGACCAGTAGTGTGGGCATCATCTGGGGGCTTGTTGGAGCATTGAGGGCCCCACCTAGCCCAGTCCAAGCCAAATCTGGATTTAACAGAACTCTGAAGGGATTGGCATTCGTGTGAAACCTTGACAGCTTTGGTTTAGATGACTCTTAAGAAAACAACACACTGTACCCCATGATAGTATCAATGTACACAGCTATGATTTAATAAAAAAGAAAAAAAAAAGAAAACTTGTCCTCCATATCAAGTGTTTCCCCGGTTTGTGGTTGAAGGAGGGAAGTATCACACCGAGGATGGGGAGAGTGACTTTCTAATCGGGGAGGGTGGGGGCCTCGCCCTCCTTTTGGTGTGTGAACTTCTGAATGCCTCTTGCCTACTTCCTTCCTTAAAAACTGAATCTGCCATCGAACGTACAGCACCAAGGGTGAGCCCTTGTGTAAACCCTGGGCCTTGGGTGGTGATGATGTGTCAAGGGAAGTTCATGGGCTGTAACAAATGGCCCAGGGGTGCAGGATGTCGGGATGTCGGGATGTTGGCAGCAGGGGAGGCGGTGTCTGTGTGGGGACAGGGGTAAATGAGAACTCTCTCTGCTTTCTGCTCAATTTTGCTCTAAATCTAAAACTACTCTACAAAATAAAGTCTGTTCAAAATTGAATATGCCAGCTGTGGCCTTGGCGAAAGAGGACAGCCAGTAAGGTAATGCCTATTAAATTCTTTAAAAAAATCATTTAGATAAAAGGTGCTTTTGAAAGAGAGGGTTTTGTCAAGTGCCGTGATCTCATGCTCTGGCAGCGCTGGTAGGAGAGGAGTCCAAGGGAAACCCGGGGTGCTGACATGTGGCTGACTCAGGTGCCAGCCCTGCCGACTGCGAGCGGCCAAGGTGATCAGTCACCAGGGCCTCCGGGCCACGGCCGTGCTCTCCTGCTGCCCTCAGAAGCGCCGGGTGCTCGTTGTTTCTGCTTCTGTCTGGTTTTCTGGGTTCTATTTTCCACCTTGTTCTTAACTAGATGGTCATGACCTGTGGTGGCTCTTTCAAGGGCTCTGCCAACACTGGCACTCAGATGGGAAGAGGATGTAAGTAGAAGCTGTCCTCACGGTCAGTCCTGGGGGCGGCTGATGTGCCCGAAACACTCTCTGCACGCTTGTGTTTTGTTTATTCTGGTTTATTTAATAATATTCCCTAACATATATTAAGCTTTCTTTTTCTCTTTATTTATTTTTTGTTTGTTTGTTTGTTTGTTTTAGAGACAGAGTCTCACTTTATCACCCTCGGTAGAGTGCCGTGGCACCACAGCTCACAGCAACCCCCAGATCCCAGGCTGAAGTTATTCTCTTGCCTCAGCCTCCCAAGTAGTTGGGACTACAGGCGCCCACTGCAACGCCTGGCTATTTTTTTGTTGCAGTTTGGCCAGGGCCAGGCTCGAACCTGCCACCCTTGTTATATGGGGCCTGTGCCCTACCCACTGAGCCACAGGTGCTGCCTTCTCTTTAATTTTTTATTCCTGCCATCTCATTTGATTCTCAAGACAGTGTCTGGTCAATGGATGGAAGGTAGTATTAGGAAGGCAGTCTGGATGTTGTTCACCCTCCAGATAACACAGAAACAGAGCTTTTATT